TTACTGGCTGAGCAAGGTGCGGGCGCAACACCGAGGGTTGCGATCCCGTTGCTGGTCCCGGTCCGGTACGGGCGTGACACTGAGGGTTGCGATCCGTTGCCAGTCACGAAAAAAGACAAAAAAAGGAAAAAAAAAAAAAAAAAAGAATATCTGTATTGGGTTCAAAGCAATAGAGATTCCTGTAATCATTTTGATAAATATCAGAGACTTTTAACTTGAATATTCCAGGTTTGCCCAGTAAAGTCCCTATTCCTATTTCAGTTTTCTGTTTTGTGTTCTCCTTGTAGTGGACATTTGGGAGCAATAAAAATAAGAAGAAAGGAAAAGCCAGAAAAACAGAGAAGAAAGGAACCATGAAGAAACAGGCCAACAAAACTGCCTCCTCAGGCAGTTCAGACAAAGACAGTTCCGCTGAGAGTTCAGCTCCTGAGGAAGGTGAGCCAAAAGCCCAGACCTGGGGGTGGACTCCCAGTCTTGTCAGCTTGGAGATGCAGAAGTGGGGAGGAAAGGTGCCTGTGTTACAGCATAACCTCTGCCTAGAGAGCAGTGGTCCTTAACTTTTCCAATGGTTATGGACCCTTTGAGAATCCGAATGAAGCAAGAAAAATGCATGCAATTCTAGAGGGTTGGTGAGACCACAGAAACCCATCCATGGAACCTGTGAGGAGTCTCAACTCACTTTACTGTGAGTGCCACCTTCACCCTTTTTCTTGGTTATGCAAATTATGACAGAGGAGGGAAATCCTTGAACCAGTTACAAAACTGTAGAAAATGTACTTTTGTTTGAAGCCAGTTCCAGAATTTTTGTTAACAATAGTTTGAAAAGTGAACTAATTCCAGGATTAGAATGATAAACTTTAAATTTTCTTTAAAAAATAATTTTTACTTACAAACTGGCTTGTATAGAATTGACCCAACCTGGTTTTAAGCACATGCCTGTGATTGTTACCTTGAATTGAGTCAAGCACAGTTTTTGTTAAATTGCTGATTTAGGGCTGGCCGGTTAGCTAACTTGGTTAAAGCATGGTGCTGATAACACCAAGGTCAAGGTGTTTGGATCCCCTTACAGGCCAGCCACCAAAAACTAACTAAATAAATAAATAAAATTGCTGATTTAATTTAATACTCGTTAGTAATATATACTGTCTTTTTTCCATGCCACACTTTGTCCTATCAAGATCCAGTGTTACTAGGAATTCACTAGTCAACTTAATGATTCGTTAAAACACTGGTTTTTGAAATGCCAACAAATAAATGTAGAATAGCTTATAGGGTTAGAAAATCAAATCACCATTTTCAATTATTATAGTACTAATTGATTTACTGAAGAGTTATCAGTGATTGTTAAAACCACTGGGTGAGAGTTTGTTGGAGAACTCTCAAAGTATCCCTTTATACATACTAACTACAAAGGGGAAACGGGGTGCCATTACAAACGAAACATCTGGGAGGTTCCACCTTCACCAAGTAATTCAGATTAATATCACTAGTAATGGGACAAACAGATGTCAGGTGTTTTTGATATAATACACTGAAAAGGACATCATCACTTGTGAGGTAAGTGTTCTTGCCAAAATTGCTTAACCTGAATTAGTTCTTGACAAAAAAACCAAACCAAATTGGGATAATTGTTGCTGTTTAAACTTAAATTAACTAAAAATTAATATTTAAAATTTAGTTCTTCAGTTGTACTAGCCACATTTCAATTTATCAGTAGCCACATGTGGTTTCTGCTGTTCAGATAGAGAGTATTTTCATCACTACCTCACAAAACTCTATCAGACAATTTTATGGGCTTATATCTTCAAAAATTCAAATAGCATGACAAAGAAAGGCTGATCCAGATTAAAGGATACTACAGAGACATGACAACCAAATGCAACATGTAATCCTAGATTGGATCCTACTTTGGATGAAAAGTGGCTATAAAGGACAGTATTGGAACAATTGATGAAATTTGAATATGGACCATATATTAGATAATGGTATGGCATCAATGTTAAATTTCCTTAATTTGATAATTGTAGATTTGGTTAAGTAAGAGACTGCTCTCTTTGGGAGAAATATTTATGTGTGAAGAGTCATGATCTCTGCAACTTTCAGTTTGATAACATAAATAATAAAAATGTATATTTTATTCTCTTAATAGCTGTGAACTTGAAAATAAAAAATATATACATTATTTTCTATATGTAGACAGAAAGAGAAAGTAAGTTGGCAATGTTAACTGGGTGAATTTGACTAAAGGAAGTATGGAAGTCAAACTATTCTTGCAACTTTTATTCTGTGGATATGCTTTTTTTCCCCCAAAACAAAAAAAGTTGAATTAAAAATAGGGTGGTTTCTTATTCCAGTCTAAATTTCTCTAACTTGGGTTTGCATTTACCAAAGGCAGACCAAGGGCTCATGCCAAGAGAATTGAGATGGCCATGTAGCACTTTACCTGGGAGAGCCAAGGGGTGATGATTATCAACACTGTGGGGTCACCTGTGGCCTTGGTCTTCTGTAGCATAGTGTAATCTTGTGTTTGGGCCTTTGTTGCAGGTGAAGTGTCAGATTCTGACAGCAACAGCTCCTCTTCCAGTTCAGATTCAGACTCTTCCTCAGAAGATGAAGAGTTCCATGATGGCTATGGAGAGGACCTCATGGGAGATGAGGAAGACAGGGCACGTCTGGAACAGATGACAGAGAAAGAAAGAGAGCAAGAACTGTTCAACCGCATAGAGAAGAGAGAGGTGTTGAAAAGAAGGTAAGGTTGTAGCTACCCTGCCTTTTCTATTTATTTCTTGTCTTTTGTACTTCCCCTTTCCTTCACATGTGACCTATATATGGAGACTGACATTTGGAAATGGGAAGGGAGGGAGGAAGGGAGGGAGGAAGGGAGGGAGGGAGGAGGGAAGGAAGGAAGGAAGGAAGGAAGGAAGGAGGGAGGGAGGGAGGAAGGAAGGAAGGAAGGAAGGAGGAAGGAAGGAGGAAGGAAGGAGGAAGGAAGGAGAGTTCAGAGCCATACATAGAAAATTAATATTTTGTAGTGCATTTGTTTAGCCTCAGGGCAGTGCACTATAGTAACTCAGAAATTCACTTAGTAAAGGTCTTTATGTGAATCTGATTTAATCTTCATAACAGTCTGTTTATGTATGCACCACACATTAGCATCCCATCCTATAGCCTGCAACACCAGTAGCGAGATGTTATTTTCAATTGTTAGAGTCTTCATAAGGGCAGGCAGCTAGCCTGGTTGTGGAAAGAGCACTGACTTTTTCAGTCAGAAGGTCTAGGTTCAATTCAGACTCACTGGCCAGTGATCTGAATTAAATCACAGTAAGTGATACCCTCTTTCTGCCTCAGCTCCCTCCTGGGGATTGTTGTTAGTCTTGAGTGACATAATACACATAAGAACAGTTTGTAGATATATAAGCTATTATCAACTTTAAAAAATAACTTTATTTTGGGCTGGCCCGGTAGCGCACTCGGTAGAGTGCGGTGGCGCTCCTGCCAAGGGTTCGGATCCCATATAGAGACCGGTCCGCTCGCTGGTTGAGCGTGGTGCGGGCGCGACACCGAGGGTTGCGATCCCGTTGCCGGTCGCGGTACAGGCGCGGCACTGAGGGTTGCGATCCCGTTACCGGTCATGAAAAAAGACAAAAAGGGAAAAAATAATAATAATAATAACTTTATTTCAAATAACCCACTTAAAGTGTACAATTCGATGTATGCTTTATTTATATTTTCACAAAGTTGTACAGCCATCACCACAGTTAATTCAGAACATTTTCACCACCTCAGAAAGAAACCCTGTAATTCACTGGCAGCCACTCTTCTATTTCCCCTCAAGCCTTCCAGCCCTAGGCAACTACTAATCTACTTTTTTTGTTTCTGTAGATTTGCCTATTCTGGATATTTTATATAAATGGAATCATATAATGTATAGTCTTTCGTGACTTGGCTTTTTTCACTTACCGTGTTTTTGAGGTGGCTTTTGGTATTTTGTTTGTTTTTTGTTTTTTGCAGTTGGCTGGTATGGGGATCTGAACCCTTGACCTTGGTGTTTTAACACTGTGCTCTAACCAGCTGAGCTAATATGTTGTTGAGGTTTATCCATGTAGCATATATCTGTACTTCACTGTTTTTTGTGGCTTGAATAATCCATTATATTTAGATACCACACTTTATCAATTTATCTAATGATTGACATTTGGATTGTTTCCACTTTTTTGATATCATGAATAGTGCTACTGTGAATATTTATATACAAGTATTTGAGCACCTATTTTCAGCTTTTATCCATTTTTCAGTTAAATTGTTTGGATTTGGTACTGTTGTTGTGTTGCAGAAGTTCTTTGTTCTGGATATTAATCTCTTATCAGATATATAATTTGTTTTCCACAGCACCTGCAATATTTTATTTTACATTCCCACCAGCAATGATGAAGATTCCAGTTTCTCCACATCCTTGCTAACTCTTGTCATTTTCCCTTTTTTTTTGATAGTAGCTATCCTGGTGGGTGTGAACTGGTTTCTCACTGATTTTGATTTGCATTTTTCTGCTGACTAATGATGCTGAGTATCTCTTTATGTGCTTGTTAGCCATTTATATATCTTTGGAGAAATTTCTATTCAAGTCCTTTGCCTATTTTTTAACTGGATTATCTTTTTGGTTTTGAGTTGTAAGAATTCTTTATATATTGTGGATACTAGACCTTTATCAGATACGTGATTTGCAAATATTTTCTCCCATTCCATAGGTTGTCTTTTCACTCTCTTGATGGTGTTATTTAATGCAAAAGTTTTAAATTTTGATGAAGTACAATGTATTTTTTTCTTTTCTTGCTCATGATTTTGGTGTCATATCTAAGAATCTATTGCCAAATCCAAGGTCATGAAGATTTACCTCTGTGTTTTCTTCTAAGAGCTTTATAGTTTTAGCTCATATTTAGATTATTAATCCATTTTGAGATGATTTTTGTATGTCGTACAAGCTAGGGGTTAACTTTGTTCTTTTGCATGTAGATATCCAGTTGTCCCAGCACTACTTGTTGAGGAGACTATTCTTTCCCCATTGAATACTCTTGGCACCTTTGTCAAAAATGAGTTGGCCATAGTCATGGGTTTATTTGTATGCTCTCAGTTCCATTCCATTGATCCATATATCTATCCTTATGCCATTACCATTACTGTTTTGTTTCTTTTTTTTCTTTTTTTTTTTTTTGGCAGCTGGGCAGTAAAGGGGTCCAAACCCTTGTCCTTGGTGGTATTAGCACCACACTCTACCAAGTGAGCTAACCAGCAAGCCCTATGCTGTTTCGATTATTGTGGTTATGTAGTTGGTTTTGAAATTGTGAAGTATGAGTCCTCCAACTTTGTTCTTTTTCAAAATTGTTTGGCTATATGGGGCCCTTTGCATTCCTAAATGAAGTTCAGGGTCAGCTTGTCAATTTCTGGGAAAAAAAAAAAGCAGCAGCAGCAGTTGGGATTTTGATAGGAATTGTGTTGAATCTGTAGATCAAATTTGGGAGTATTAAGAGCCGGCCCGTGGCTTACTTGGGAGAGTGTGGTGCTGATAACACCAAGGCCACAGGTTCGGATCCCTATATAGGGATGGCCAGTTAGCTCACTTGGGAGAGCGTGGTGCTGACAAGACCAAGTCAAGGGTTAAGAACGCCTTACTGGTCATCTTTTAAAAAAAAAAAAAAAAAAAAAATTGGGAGTATTGCCATCTTAATATTGTCTTCCAATCCATAAATATGGGTCTCTCTCCACTTACTTAAGTCTTCCTTAATTTCCTTCAGCAATGTTTCCTGGTTTTTGTGTTTCTGGGATAAATCCCACGTGTTCATGGTGTTTAATATTCTTTTATGTTCCTGTTTTGTCCTTGTCTTGTTTTGGTATCAGGGTAATATGGGCCTCCTAGAATAAGTTGAGAAGTGTTTCATCCTCTTCTCCTTTTTGGAAGAGTTTGTGAAGAATTAGTATTCTTTAAATAAAAACATTCTTTTGAATGTTTGGTAGAATTTTTCAGTGAAGCCATCTGGGCCTGAGCTTTTGTTTGTGGGAAGTTTTTAAATACTGATTCAGTCTTTTTACTTGTTATAGGTCTATTCAGATTTTCTTTTTCTTCTTGAGTCAATTTTGGTGGTTCTGGCCTTCTAGGAATTTTCCCATTCCATATAAATTACCTAATTTGTTGCCATACAGTTGTTCATAGTGTTCCCTTAAGATCTATTTCATTTCTGTAAGGTTGATAGTAATGTCCCCTCTTTCATACCTGATTTTATTAATTTGAATGTTCTCTCTTTTTTTCTTGGTAATCTAGCTAAAGGTTTGTCAATTTTGTTGATGTTTTCAAAGAACCAACTTCTGTTTTCATTGATTATCTTTATTGTTTTTGTAGTCTCTTTTATTAATTTCAACTTTGATCTTTATTAATTCTTTAATTCTGCTTGCTTTATGTTTAGTTTGCTCTTCTTTTTCTACTGTCTTATGGTAGAATTAGGTAATTAATTTTAGATCTTTCTTCTTTTTCAATACAGATTGAGCATCCTTAATCCGAAATCCAAAATGCTCCAAAATCTGAAACTTTTTGAGCACTGACTTGATGCCACAAGTGAAAAATTCCACACCTCTGATTGCAAGCATTTCGGATAAAGGATACTCAACCTGTAAAAGTGACAAAGTGATGATAAAGATGATGTTAACACTGCAGAGAAAGTACCAATAGACAACGTGGTGAAAATGTGAATGTGTGATGGAATTAGAGCAGCATGCATTCATAACTGAACAAGAAATCATGCCAGTTTATAGAATCAAAGAGAGACTTCTAAAACAAAAACCATTGTTAATGAGGCATATGACTCTGGAGGAAACGTTTAAAAAAGTCATTCAGCAGAATGCTTCTTCATCCCTACAGAACCCATTTCCTGGTACCTCAGCTGCTTCATTTTTTGTTTTGTTTTGTTTTGTTTATTTTTCAACTGCTTCTGATGTTTCTTCTCACTTAAAAAATACAATACAATACAAGGGTTGGCTGGTTAGCTCAGTTGGTTAGAGTATGATGCTGATAACACCAAGGTCCAGGGTTCGGTTCCTGTACCAGCCAGCTGCCAAAAATAAATAAATAAAATACAGTGTATGGTAACCTTTTAATCAAAACACAATGAAAGCCTGCCATTGTTTTGCTGCTCTTGTTTAACACCTGATACAGGTATTCTGGTGATACTACTGTGGTGCTTAGTTACCCTGAACACATTTTTTTCACTGTGTTAATGGTATGTCATATTTTTTACTGTCAAGTATTTATGTGTGAATAGGTATTAGAAAATGATTACTTATTGGTAGCATATAAATTCAGTAAATTCAGAGTCAGGAATGATGGTGATGCCACACAACCACAGATTGTCCACGTGGGTGGTTGAGATAGTGACACCTTTGCTTTCCAATTGTTCGATGTACACAAACTTTGTTTCATGCACAAAATAATTAAGAATATTGTAAAAAATTACCTTCAGTCTGTGTGTATAAGATGTATATGAAATATAAATTAATTTTGTATTTAAACTTGGGTTCCTTTTTTTTTTTTTTTTTAAAGATGACCGGTAAGGGGATCTCAACCCTTGGCTTGGTGTTGTCAGCACCACGCTCAACCAGTGAGCGAGCCGGCCATCCCTATATAGGATCCGAACCCGTGGCTTCGGCGCTATCAGCACCGCACTCTCCCGAGTGAGCCACGGGCTGGCCCTACTCCTTTCTCCTATCTAATAGAAATCAGTCTTTACATATATTTCATTGCTACTTAAAAACCAAACAAATATCTTTTAATCAGATTTGAAATCAAGAAAAAACTAAAAACAGCCAAAAAGAAAGAAAAGAAAGAAAAAAAGAAAAAGCAAGAAGAGGAGCAAGAAAAGAAAAAACTGACACAGATTCAAGAATCTCAGGTAGGAAATTCAATGGTCCTCTCTGTTTTGAGTGTACGTGGGTGTTTGTTTCTGTTTATGTAAAATGGTGGGTTTATATTAATCAGTCTAGGTTAGTGTGAGACTATTACATACAGTCTGCTTCCTGTAGGTTTCATTAATCTTTGGACATATCTTATCATTTCACCATTAGCTACACTGTTTAACTCCTTAGGACTTCACTCAAATCTGCATTTAAAAAGCAGCCCACTAGCGTGTGAGTGTCCCTTAATTGAAAGTTGGTAAACATCTTGTCCGAGGTAGCCAGATATGTTATGATGTTTACTCAGGTGTATGTCATCCTAGACTTGGTATAAATATAGCTGAGCAAATTAGTTATCTCTGCATTCATTATGAAAAGCTTTATTGACAATATCAACAAATATTAGCTATGATCTAGGATGTTCTTCCAGAAAGAGTTTTTTGGATAATTTCTTAAATTTGCTGTTTATCAGGCAGGTAAGATGGGCTGACTTCACACTGCTGTATCCTCTTTGTCCACAAGAGGATGCTCTCTCCTTATGCAAATTTTAAGTTTCTGCAGCCTATATAGATTCACATTGGAGGACTGAATGTATCGTTGGGTATAGAGAATCTCATCAGCTGTTGGTAAAAAGAGCCACCCTACATATCCTTCCCTTTCCAGGTAACATCCCACAACAAGGAACGGCGTTCCAAACGGGATGAGAAACTAGATAAGAAATCTCAAGCCATGGAGGAGCTGAAAGCAGAGCGAGAAAAACGGAAGAACAGAACAGGTAAGTTGGGAAAACGTAATGGCTACTTTGTGTCTTTGATCGTATGATTTCACTTCCTAGTGCTCATTTTTATTTTTCCCTTTTTTTTTTTTAGCTCTTTATTATGGAAAATTCCAAACATATACAGAGAGGAGTATAATGAACCTCCATGAACCATATCATCTCTATTTCATTATATTTCAACCATATTATTTCAATACGTGTCTCTAAAAGATAAGGACTCTTTTTGTAAACCTATCTACAATACTATTCTCACACCTAAAAAATAGTAACAATGAATCCATTAATATTATCAAATATCTAGTCAGGGTTCAAATTTCTCTATTTGTTTTATAATTTAAAAAATAATAATTTGATCATTTGAATCAGGATCTTATAAGTACTGCACACTAACCGATTGCGCCACTGGAGCTCCTGAATCAGGATCTTAAATAAAAGTCCATACATTGTGATTTGTTACTATGTCCTTTAAGTCACTTAATCTATAGGTTTTTCTCCTCATCTCCTTTTCCTCCTCTTGCAGCCTATTTGCTGAAGAAACTAGGTCATTTGTCTTGTGGTTTCTCACAGATGTTAAGTGCATCCCATTGGTGTTGTTGAATGTGTTCCTCTAGTCCCTTGAATTTCCTGTAATTTGATAGTTAGACCTAGAGAATTGATCAGATTTGGGTTTGTTCTGGGTTTTTTTTGGTTTTTGGAAAGGAGTATTTTTAGGTAGTGGTATGTATTTCCATCAGGAGACACATACTATCTGATTGTTTCTTATTTTGTGAAGTTACCAGCTCTGTCAATTAGCCTTTACCACAATAATGTGAGGTAGCAAACTCCCCCCACCCTTCCTGCTCATGCACCTGCAGTTCAGCAGGGGGTTGCCTGGAAGTATGGGTTTATTGTCTCCAGGCTGCAGGTTGGGGCTAGGTCTATTCTACCTGTCTCACTTCCTCCTTGGACCAGAATTCACAGGACACATTCTTATCGTGGTGATAGCAGAAGTATAAAAGGGGCAAGCAGAAACACACAATGTCTCTTAAGACCTAGACTTGGAATTGTCACTATGAGAAGTGTCACTGTGGAAGTATAACTATGGGACTGGGAGAAACTAGCAAGTCATGTGGCAAGGAGCATGGGTACAGAGAGAGTTGAAGAATTGGAAATAGTCATGTGTTCTATCCTAGTAGCCAGTGATGGTCATTATTTACATCATTTAATTCATTAGGAGTTGCAAAATGGTGATATTCTAATCTATCACTCTTTCTTCGTTTATTATCTAGTCTGTTTACATAAAGAGAAACTTCTCACAAGCTATTTAGTTACCCGCCCCCCAGGTATATTTTTAATAGGAAAGGTGGAATAAATACTTGATTCATTTTCTTTTTATTTATCAGTTTTCAAAAGAATGAGAGTTCCTCAGCAACTTCCGGAGATAACCATTGAGATTTCTTTATTTTGAATGTTCTTTATGTATCCTAACAATACTTTATGTGTTTTAATCCATTGCAGTTATTATTGATACTCAAATTGTCTACCAGATTTAGCCGAGTCCTTTTGACACAAGACCCTGGTAGTCTTTAATAATTTCCTTGCTTTCTAGATTTGGAGTTAGCCATTTCTCTATGGAGCCCTGGTTTCTTTTTCACGACAAATTGTATTTAGAGACCGCAGTCGAGACACAAGGAGTGCTCATGCTATTATTTCTAAGCCTTTTCAGTGTACACAGCTAAAAAAGTTTTTTTTAAGGATAAAATTTATCATAAACCTTATTCTGAGAATTCCATTTCAAACTAGAATGCTAGAGATTTTTGTTTTTTATAATAACTTTATTGAGATATAGCTCATATGCAATACTGTTTACTTATATAAAGTGTACAAGGCAGTGGCTTTTAGTATATTCACAGAGCTATGCAGTAAAACTCAAAATTCAGTGAATTTTAGAATATTTCATTACCCCAAAAAGAAACTCCAACCTGTCATCCCCCAGCCCTAGGCAACCACCAATCTTCTTTCTGTCTCTATAGATTTGCCTGTCCTGGACATTTCATGTAAATGGAATCATAAAATATGTGGTCTTTTGTGCCTAGCTTCTTTTACCTAGCATAATGTTTTCAAGGTTCATCCATATATTATAGTATGATATCAATATTTTTCCCTTTTTATGACTGAATAATATTCCATTGTATGGATATACACATTTTGTTTATCCATTTACCTCTTGATGGATATTTGGGTTGTTTCCACTTTCTGGCTATTATGAATAATATACTACGAACATTTGTGCACAAGTTTTTGGGGGTATTTTTGTTCAATTTTTTTTTTACTTTTTATTTATTTTGGTTTTTTATTTGTGCACAAGTTTTTATATGGACATATGTTTTCATTTATCTTGGGTGTATACCTAGGAGTGGAATTATTGGGTGATATGATAATGACCTTTTGAGGAACTGCCAGGCTGTTTTCCAAGGCAGCTTCACCATTTTGCATTGCTAACAACAATATATGAAGGTTTCTCCACATCCTCACCAACACTTGTTATTATGTCTTATTGATGATGGGAATCCTAGTGGGTGTGAAGTGGCATCTTATGGTTTCAATTTATATTTTCCTAATGATTAGTGATGTTGAGCATCTTTTCATGTGTTTGTTAGTCATTTGTATATCTTCTTGGAGAAATGTGAGTTCAAGGTCTCTTTTTATTTTTTTTTTTTTTTTTGCGGCTGGCTGGTAAGGGGATCTGAACCTGCAACCTTGGTGTTATAAGGCTGCAATCTAACCAGCTGAGCTAACTGGCCAGCCATTCAAGTTCTTTGTCCATTTTTCAGTTAAATTGTTTGGGTTTTGTTGCTGTTGTTGTGTTGCAGAAGTTCTTTTTTCTGGATATTAATCTCTTATCAGATATATAATTTGCAAATATTTTTTTATTCCATGGGTTACCTTTTCACTTTATCGTTAGTGTCTTTTGATGAATAAAAGTTTTTAATTAAGAGGGCCGGCCCGTGGCTCACTCGGGAGAGTGTGGTGCTGAGAACACCAAGGCCACAGGTTCAGATCCCTATATAGGGATGGCCGGTTCACTCACTTGAGAAAGTGTGGTGCTGACAACACCAAGTCAAGGGTTAAGATCCCCTTACCGGCCATCTTTAAAAAAAAAAAAAAGTTTTAATTAAGGAAGTATAATTTATCTATTTTTGTTGCGTCCTGTGCTTTTGGTGTTATATCCAAGAAATCGTTGCCGAATCCAGTGTCACGAAAGTTTCCCCTGTGATTACATCTTCTAAGAATTTTATAGTTTAGCTATTATATTTAGGTCTTTGATCCATTTTGATTTAGTTTTTGTATATAGTGTAAGGTAAGGGTCCAACTTCTTTTTTTTTTGCATATGGATATCCAGTTTTCCCAGCACCATTTGTTGAGGACTGTCCTTTGCCCATTGAATGTTCTTGGCACCTTTGTCAAAAATTATTTGGCCATATATGCAAGGGTTTATTTCTGGGCTCTCTGTTCTCTCCCATTGGATATGTCTGTCTTTCAAAATGACTGTTTTTTTCTGGAACCCCAAGCCAGCCAGCCACCAAAAAAAAAAAGACTATTTTTTTTTTTTGTCCTTTTTGAGACCCGCCGCACCGTGCTCAGCCAGTGAGCGCTGTGAGCACACTGGTCATCCCTATACAGGATCCGAACCTGTGGCGGGAATGCTGCCGTGCTCCCAGCGCCGCACCCTCCCGAGTGCGCCATGGGCTTGGCCCAAAAAAGACTATTTTTAAAGTTACTTCTTATAGTTCCTTTCTGTGTGGTTATGTCATCAGATGAATACTTCGTTTCATTTGGCTTTTAATATTTAGAGATGACTTTTTATTATTATTGTTTTATGATTATATAAAATACATGATTCCAAAGTCAAATCTACTAAAACAAGGTATATTCAAAGAAATTTAGCTTCCATATCTTTTTATTTCATACCTTGTCCCCTCCCATAACAGTCAATCACTTAAAACTTTTTGTTGTTGTTGTTGTTGTTTTTGGCGGATGTCCAGAAAACACTTTTATATCCTTCTCTTTTTTTCTTTAAACATTAGGGCACACAGAGATCAAGGGTTCAGATCCCCTTACCAGCCAGCCACCAAAAACAAACAACAAAACAACAACAACAAAAATAAACATAAGAACACGTAGTCACCTCCTGTTTTAGATTAATGGTAGCATGCTATACACACTTTTCTCTACCTTGCATCTTTCACTTAACAGTATATCCTGGAGATCACTCCTTAGTGGTTTTTTTTTTTTTTGTCTTTTTGTCTTTTTTCCGTGTCCGGCAACGGATCGCAACCCTCAGTGTTGCCCCCGTACCGGACCGGGGACCGGCAACGGGATCGCAAGCCTCGGTGTTGCTCCCGCGCCTCGCTCAGCCAGTGAGCGGGAACCGGTCTGTATATGGGATCCGTACCCTCGGACGGGAGCGCCGCCGCGCTTCCCAAGCGGCGCACTATCCAGTGCGCCACCGGGCCGGCCCCACTCCTTAGTGTTTTATGTAGAGCAGCTATCAGCAAACTGTTTTTGAAAATAGAATTTCACTGAATACAACAACACCCATTTGTTTACATATTGTCTAAGGCTGCTTTCAGTAACTACAACAATAAATTTGAGCAGTTGGAACAGTGACCATAGGAATAACAAACCTATTTTTTTTAATAAAGAAACAGTATTTATTAGTTACAGTTTTAGAGGCTAGGAAGTGCAAAGTCCAGGAAACACATTTGGTGAGGGCCCTGTTTGTGGGTGGTGACTCTTTACAGCGGTGCAGGGTGTCACATGGTAGATGGCTTGAGAAGAGAAAACACAAACCTAAATTATTTACCATCTGGCTCTTTAAAACATTTTCTGACTCAGGTTGTAGTGTTCTGTCTCATTCCTTTTTTACATCTGCATATCAGTCCACTGGGTAGACGTATCACAGGTAATTCAGCTACTCCCCTGTTTGTGGACATTTGGTTGTTTTCTTTTCTTTTTCTTTTTTTTTTTTTTTTTAAAGAATGACTGGCAAGGGGATCTTAATCCTTGACTTGGTGGTGTCAGCACCACACTCAACCAAGTGAGCTAACCAGCCATTCCTATATAGGGATCCGAACCCGTGGCCTTGGTGTTATCAGCACCGCACTCTCCCGAGTGAGCCACGGGCCGGCCCCTGACATTTGGTTGTTTTCATTCTTCTGTTATTACATGTAGTACTGCAAATTCAAAACAAGGTTTTCCTCAAAAACTTTCTGAACACATCGTGAGTTTTTCCCTCTCATTCCTGCCCACCTTCAAGTGTCTTGTGTGCAATAAAAGCTGGTGACCCTTTCTGCCTACTTAGTAACAATCTTTCATCCCATTTTTTGTCTATTGGGGTCTGATGTTTGGTGCCTGAATGATTTTAACTCTGGTTTAACTCATTTCTGTATATAGCCTAAGTTATCACAACCCCATCTAGCAAAGATAGTCGTGTCTATTTGAGTCTTTCATGTTCCAGTTCTTTTTCAAGGATGAAAGATGTTTCAGTTTCTTGTTGAGAAAACCTAGGTAATCATTTCCCCTTTCTTTCTAGCTGAGCTCCTTGCCAAAAAACAGCCATTAAAAACCAGTGAAGTCTACTCTGACGATGAGGAGGAGGAAGAGGATGACAAGTCCAGTGAAAAGTCAGACCGTTCATCCCGAACATCATCATCTGATGAAGAAGAGGAGTAAGCTGTGTTCATTTTGGTCTAGTAGGCAGGATGGATGGGTTCTTTTCTGAAGTTTCCAAAATTGCCCTGTTTGAGCCATGAACTCTGGTTTGGTTCAGTACCCTGAATTGCTGAACTAAATTCCCCAGCACATCAGCCCATTCATTTCTTTGGCTTCTGGCTCCTAGCCTGCACCCCTGGACATTTCACTGGGGCCTAGCAGGTAGGAACTGACTTCCCATCACTCTCAGATTGGCCCGGAGCTGTCGTTACTGTTCTTACTGTGATATGTTATCTAGAGTGGCAGCCTCGTTCAAGACAGTTCATACTACTGGCTAGGAACAGGATTCTATTACAGCTCTTTCCTAGTGCTTTATTTGTTTCTCTTAAGTTAATCACATGTGCTTTGGTTGAGGTACATTTTGAGAAGTTGGTATTTATATGTCTTGTACCGTTTATATGATGAACACTTTTCCCAGTGCCCCGTTGTCCCTCACAGGAAAGAAGAGATCCCTCCAAAATCACAACCAGTCTCCTTACCTGAAGAATTGAATCGAGTTCGATTATCACGGCATAAGCTAGAACGTTGGTGTCACATGCCCTTCTTTGCTAAAACTGTCACAGGATGTTTTGTACGGATTGGCATTGGAAACCACAACAGCAAACCAGTTTACCGGGTTGGTATTTCTTTCCTTGGACAATTTTCCACGTTTTCAGTATAATGATTCTCGACTAGGGGTTAGGAGCTACTGAACAAATATGTCATTCTTCTGCCACCTTTTGACTGGGAAGTAGACTCCAAATGATATGCCCATACAACAGTGTCTATCTGAGCTGACCTCATTCATGACCTGCTGCCAGGAAGAGTACTTAGAGCCCAAGGGACTGGCAGGTTTGGATTTAGGATAATTTTCTCTATCCTCTTTCAGCATAAAAGGAAGAAGGGAGACATTTCTGAAGTATTTGTTGGGAGTTACATAACTCTCAACAAAAAATTTATTATTTAAAAAATAAATCAATGGGCCGGCCCGGTGGCGCACTCGGTTGAGTGTGGCGCTTGGGAGCGTGGCGGCGCTCCTGCCGAGGGTTCGGATCCCATATAGAGACCGGTCCGCTCACTGGCTGAGCGCAGTGTGGGCGCGACACAGAGGGTTGCAATCCCGTTACCGGTCATGAAAAAAAAAAGACAAAAAGGAAAAAAAAAAAATCAATGAAAAATGTCCATGTTACATACCAAGTGACTTCTAGACCAGGGAATTGCATTGAGGTTAAAAAAAAAAAAACGTCAGCCTAATACAAATTATTATGTGGGTTCCAGCACTACTTCTTCTGTGGTCTCAATGGCTGGAATATATATAGCTATTTGATTTTTCTGTTGTGTGTTTTGTTTTTGTTTGTTCTGTTCTGGGTTGTCTGGTTTTAACGTGTATTTATCTCCTTGTGTAAGGACCAGCAGTCATGCCGTGTCCTGGAAAGCTTGGCAACAGAAACTGACCTCTGTGGCCTTCACATTTGGTTAATAAAAATTGACCTCTGAAATCCCAAGTACATCCCCTAGTAAAGTAGAATTAGTTGGGTGGAAAGCTTCTAATGGGCCACACCAGGCTAACTTCCTTTTCTGGCGTGTGCTTATACTGGGCACAAGGCTCCCTGTATGTGAATTCTAAATCTGAGAAAGATGCTCAGAACACCTGGCAGCTGTGGGTTCCTCTTGGCACAGGGTCACTTGTTTGTGTTCAGGTAGATAGAGCCAAAAGAAAAGTGTGGAAAGCTCTGAATGAGTCTACTCCTGACTGGTGTCTCTTGTCCTTCTTAGGTTGCTGAGATTACAGGCGTTGTGGAAACTGCCAAAGTTTACCAGCTGGGTGGCACCAGAACAAACAAAGGGCTACAACTACGGTAAGAAGCTCTTCTGTGGCAGCTTCTGCTTCCACTTCAAACAGGCACTTCCCATTTGAGCTGTTATTCTCTCCCAGTGTGATGTTTCTTGTTGCAGTGAGCACTATTTATGCAGTCCCCACAATGCACTTGGAGAGAGACTTGTTTTCTGTCTTTGCCTTTAGGGGAAGTAGGACATTCTCTCCCATAGGAGGAACCAGGGTTATGAAGTGATAGGACATATAGAAGGAAAATGCCAGATTGTGAGAGATCATCCTCCCAGAGCCCAGCAGACATTTCCTTGATGAGCATGGTCAAAAGGTTTGCTTCTGGTTGTGGCTCACTTAACTAACCTCATCTTTAACAAGTCAGGTCACCTTTCTGGACTTAGTTTCCTCCTTCAGCAAAATGAAAGTATCATTCACTCAGCAAATATTTACTGAATTTCTACTATGTGCCAGTAGTAGTATGATGCCACTGTTTTAGGCATCAGGATAAAGGAGAGAACAAAGCAGACATATACAAATTTCTGCCCTCTTGGAGCCTGAGAATTCTAAAGACTCCATATAGGAAGGAATAGAAGTAGTTTTCCAGGATCACACAGCAAGTAGAAGATAATAGACATGGCTTTCCCATGACCTAATATGGTCTCCATGGTTTCTCCGTTCCCCTCTCTCATCCCCACCCCATCATCTCCCCTGGTCTGTTTAAAAAGAGCCAGTTGGGGGTAGGAAATGGCTGTGACAAGCAGAGAGTCTCTAGGAAAATGTCACTGAGTCACTTAATTTTGCCGACACAGTGGTCAGTAGAAAGACAGAGTTCTTCCTCTCAGGAATAGCTGGATTTTCATTCTAATAACTACATAGTATTGCATATTCTTGATGCTAACTGACTATGATGGATTTTATTGTAAATTGACTTTTGAAGCACTGGCCACATCCATTTGGTTTCCAGCACTGCCTTTGTGATTTTCAGTCCTGGCTGCCCATTAAAACAACCTAGGAGGGGTTTTTTGTTTTGTTTTTTAGTTTTGGTGCCTGGTTTTTAACTCCCAGAGATTGTAATTCAGTAGATCCAAATTGATTGGATCTAGTTGATTCCAATGCTTTAGCATTGGAATTTTTATAAATCTTCATAGATGATTCTAAAGGGTAGCCAGGATTGAGAACCACTGTGGTACATTGTCTAGTAGGCCTGCTTTGCTGGAACTGCAGTCAACGTGCACATTCTTGGAGATGCTGTCTGTCTTTTGTGTAGGCATGGCAATGACCAACGAGTGTTCCGCCTAGAGTTTGTCTCAAACCAAGAATTCACTGAAAGTGAATTCATGAAGTGGAAAGAAGCGGTAAGTGGCTAGAGACTACTTAGCGGTTGTTTGTGAACACCAAGAGAGCCTCTTTCCAAAATCCCTTATTAATAATCCTTTATCATGTTTTGGTCCAGATGTTCTCTGCTGGCATGCAGTTGCCTACTCTAGATGAAATCAATAAAAAGGAATTATCTATTAAAGAAGCTCTTAATTATAAATTCAATGATCAGGACATTGAAGAGGTAAGAAACCTGGTACCCTACAGCCTGGAGGCTCATCACGAACCAATGTTTAGGGATGGCCAGTTAGCTCAGTTGGTAAAGTGTGGTGCTGATAACACCAAGGTCCAGGGTTTGATCCCTGTACCAGCCACCAGCCAGCCGTCAAAAAAAAAAAAAGTAAAAGAACCAGTGTTTAGAGAAAAATCATGATTTTCTTTTCTTTCCTTATATCTTGACATTTTTAACTATGCATGAAGATGAGGGAATACTAGTATTGCTACCTTATTATTTATAGTTTAAGCTTTCCTCTGTACATTCTCATCTGCAGATGAGAATACATAGACTATAAAGTGTATTCAGGGTTCAGGGATCTGTGTTGGGTCCTTCGAGAGTTTTCTTTCTCCAAAACATTTTGGTAAAATTCTTTGATCTCTGTTCTCTTGGACAGTGGCTAGCCTTACAGTACCAGGCCCTTGGGCTGCTGCTGTTTATTGGTGCATGTTCCTTCAGACTGTCCCAGAAGAATCTCCGTGACCCTGGAAGCAGCATAGTATCCCTTGGAATGAACTCGCTCTCTCCCTGGGGCATGACACTGCTATAGGAAGAGCAGCCCCCTTTTAACTAGCTGCTTGCCTCCAAAATGGGCTCACTTAGCCTGTCTACAAAAATAGTTTAGGAATACCTCACTGCTGGTATCTCCTCTCTGGTACAGATTGTAAAAGAGAAAGAAAGGTTCAGAAAAGCTCCACCCAACTATGCTATGAAGAAGACTCAGCTGCTAAAGGAGAAGGTGTGTACTTGCATTTGCACCTCTTTGCCCATTCTGTGAAGAGATGTGGAAGTCAAACATGTTCATCCTCTGCCAAGTTAGTGGTGGCAAGATTGAGAGAAAATTCTGGTCCCAACTATAAGCAACACACTGTGTTCTTGGCACCCGGGCAGCATTCCTTGGCCATTTTTCTTTCTATAAATTGAAACTGATCTTATTTGTTCCATTCTCCTTACTTTCTAGTTACTTATTTTCATGTGTAATAAAATAGTGCCCAGGGCAGTATTCAGTACTGGGTCTGAACAGACAAATGATATTGTCCAGCCCAGCTGTGGTTGATAGTTTTTCATTCTTCACATCAGGATGGGGGGCCAGCCTGTGTCTCACTCGGGAGAGTGTGGTGCTGATAACACCAAGGCCATGGGTTCGGATCCCATATAGGGATGGCCAGTTGGCTCACTGGGTGAGTGTGGTGCTGACAACACCAAGTCAAGGGTTAAGATCCCCTTACCGGTCATCTTTAAAAAAAAAAAAACTGGGTGAGCATGGTGCAGACACATCAGGATGGGGTGAGCCTTGTTATGGTGGTTTAGCCATGTGGGGCCTGGGTTCTAAGGTTAATGTTACATATCACTGCCACTAGGGGCACAGAGCCAGGTAGCTTATATGGGAAGGTGTTACTGCTGCAATATAAATTATACCTTGTATTTGTAAAGTATTTCTTCAGTATTCTTTCATTTCTACTGTCATGTGTCCATCACATGAGATATCTTGCCTATGATGGAAGTAAGGGGATACTTGATATAGAGCCAGTTACAGCTAAGAACTCACATATCTCTCTGTGTATAGGCCATGGCTGAGGACCTGGGGGATCAGGACAAGGCTAAACAAATCCAAGACCAGCTGAATGAGCTGGAGGAGCGGGCAGAGGCCCTGGACCGCCAGCGGACCAAGAACATATCTGCTATCAGGTGTGTTACTGACCCTGTTTTGGTTGGGCCAATATCCTTGGCCCACAGACCTTGGCCAAAATTATCAGGCAGGCCCATAGCCTTGTACACGCTATGCTGCACTGACTCCACAGATCTCTGGGGTCAGGGTTCACTGGCTCCCTGTGTCCTTTCACAGCCCACTGACTCATCCCTCTTACTCACTCCACAGTTACATTAACCAGCGGAACCGGGAGTGGAACATTGTGGAGTCTGAGAAGGCCCTGGTGGTGAGTAAGACAATATTATCTAGATCACTGAAAAACATTTTAATTAATAAAATGATATGAAATCTTTTCTACATCTTGCTCAAGTTCATTTTTTAAATTATTGAAGTAACATGTATATTTAGCATATACATGCTCTCTCCATATGCATACATATAACCATATAATTTATTAATTTACAATGAAAAGCAGTCTTCTGCCCTGTCTTACCCCTCTCCACCCTTAGATTCTACTCCAGGGTATTCATTTGTATTAATTTCTGGGTTTTGGTTGTTTTCTGTGTATCTGCTCTGGAGTTCTTGAAGGGAAAAAGGTTATAGACAGCTTTTGATTTTTTAGAACCTTACAAAGACTGTTATTTATATGTGAGCTTATGATGAATGAGAGGAAGGGGACTGAAGAAACATTTCTATAGTGCATGCTCTGTTTCAGGCTGAAAGTCACAACATGAAAAACCAACAGATGGATCCCTTTACCAGGCGGCAGTGCAAACCTACCATCGTTTCTAATGTGAGTTCCTAAAGAGGACGTTATTAGTCAGGACCTAGATTCTAGGACATAGAGTGTATTCCATTAGGAAATTAATAAACGAGTTAAAAATAATGTTTTCTTAGCTGGGATTTGCTTGCCTCAAGCTCCTGGGTCTGGATACTTCCTTTTTTATCTTGCTGTAGGGCATATAGGTAGTGAAAACCTGGCATGGATTTGTAAAAATCTCAGGAGTAACTCCCTGTACCAGGATGAGTTTATAGCACAGCTGACATTAGTACAAGCATGCCTCAGAGATATTGCGAGTTCAGTTCCAGACCACTACAATAAAGATGTCGCAATAAACCAAGTCACACAAATTTTTTGGTTTCCCAGTGCATATAAAAGCTATGTTTACTGTAGTCTATTAAGTGTGCAATAGCATTAAGTCTAAAAAACAATGTGTATGCTTTAATTTTTAAATATTTATTGCTAAAAAATGCACATGCTGTTGGACAAAGGGTGGCAATAAGACTTCTTCGGAGATAGGATTGCTGCAAACCTTCAATTTGTAAAAAACAAAATTATCTGCCAAGTGCAATAAAATAAAGTGTAGTAAGCCAAGGTATGACTTTAGTGTGTCACTAAGCTAAGGTTTGGGCTTGGGCTTGGCTTTAAAGTTTTTAATTACCTTATTTTGCTGCCTTGAGGAAAACCCCACTCAGCTGCTGCTGGGTCCACTGTGCTGCTTGTGATGTTAGTAGTGGTAGGTGGGAAAAAATCTGGCAGTAGGATTCTGTGAGTGTTGGACATTCTCTAAAATAACTTATTTTCTCTTTCAGTCCAGAGATCCAGCTGTTCAAGCTGCCATCTTGGCCCAGCTGAATGCGAAATATGGTTCTGGAGTGTTACCAGATGCTCCAAAGGAAATGAGCAAGGCAAGTGCAGTACTACCCTGTGGCTTCTGAACCAGGCTGTCGCCAGCACCCCTGCCTGGTTTGGGTTTGATTTTCCTACCTGGAGGAACATGGAGTCCCACTTGCAGTCCTTTCTCCATCCTAACTATTTACAAATGTAGTGAACAGCTGCTGAATTTTGATGAGACAACCTAAATTTTAAATCCAACACCACTAATTAGCATTTGTCTTTGTTTTTGGGCAACTGGCTGGTACAGGGATCAAACCCTGGCCCTTGTTGTTATCAGCTCCACTCTGCAGCCAAGTAAGCTAACTGGCCAGCCCCCAACACCATTACTTAAGTAGGGCATTGACTGTGTCTTTAGGCACAGAGGACTTCTAGCCCTGTGCACCACATTTTCTCACATGTAAAATGGGGATAATACTACACGCCCTACCTACCTCACAGGATACTTAGGAGCAGCAGATAACATGTAAGGATCGGATGATTATAAAAGTAAAAGTTCTTTGAAAACGAAAATAGTAAACTAAGAGAAACTGCCCATTTAGAAGTAGTTCTCAGGGCTGGCCCGTGGCTCACTTGGGAGAGTGCGGTGCTGATAACACCTAGGCCACGGGTTCGGATCCTATACAGGGATGGCCAGTTCGCTCACTGGCTGAGCGCGGTGCTGACAACACCAAGCCAAGGGTTAAGATCCCCTTACTGGTCATCTTTAAAAAAAAAAAAAAGCAGTTCTCTACTTAAGTCAGGTTTTTTCCTCTGGAGCCTAAACTGTCCCAGGAATTCCTAAAATCTTGGGTCAGAACGTGGCCTGTTTTCTTAAGCCCACCCTTTCTACCCTCCTACCACAGACATAAGCCTTCCCTCTCCTCTTTGCTTTTAGTTTATAAAAGAGAATGCTCTTTGTTCATAGCCTCTCCAGTCCACCCTTTGAGAGAAGTAATCAGAATACAGCCTTAGTAGGAAAACCTAATGAACTTGAACAGGAGCTTTTACCATTAGTGGCTACTGCTTCTTGAAATCCACTTGTACTTCTGTTCTTATAATTTGTTTTCCTCTTCTCATTGCAGGGTCAGGGCAAGGATAAAGATTTGAACTCTAAATCAGCCAGTGACCTCTCAGAAGACCTGTTCAAAGTACATGATTTTGATGTGAAGATTGATTTGCAAGTTCCCAGCTCAGGTATATGAGGGCGGGAGATGGCCAAGGACCAGATTGGATCCACGGCCCTGTTGGCCAGCAAGGAGGCCTGATTTTACGGAAGAAACGGGGATATCTGCTCATCAATATTTATAGAGGCCAGGATAAGACAGGCTGCAGGTATATTTTGAGAGGGAAGATAACTGTAGTCAGTAAGGGTACCTGAAGGAGTGAAGCACAAGACTAAAAGGACTTTGTAGGTACTTCAGATGCCAATTTGCTCCTCTTTCCCACAGAGTCAAAGGCTTTGGCTATCACCTCCAAGGCTCCGCCAGCCAAGGATGGGGCCCCAAGGAGATCTCTGAATTTGGAAGACTACAAAAAACGACGAGGGCTTATCTGAGCATACCCAGCCTGCTGCTTCTGACCCTGCATGCCCCATCACAGTGTCCCAGCTTTCCTGTTTTCCTTTGATTTGCCCTCTTTGGGCCAGAGCAGCAGTAGAACTGGGAAGAGACTCTAAACTGCCAGTCATCTGTAATATAAACCATTTGCTGTATAGATCTCCCTTGTCTGCACCATCTCCCACCAACCCCCC